ATTTGGCTGCCTGTGTCTGCAGCTGCAATACGAAATCACGAACCGACTGAGAATGAGAGCGGATCAACATATTGAACCTAGCTCTTTCGGCTGCTACGAAGTTAATCGGCTTGACGTGTTGAAGAACTTTCTTCTTCAGTGCAGTGTCGGAAATATTGATTGGAGATTCAGGATATAATAAATTTTTGGTCAACGTATACGCCTCCTTGTCAACGAAATGTAGGAAATATGCCGTGAGTTTCTTATCATCCATATCGGATTTTGTGAGGCACCATATGTCGAACCGTTTCAAATAATCCTCTACGTCACGCGCAGTTGAATTAACATCTAATGGTTCCATTTCGGCAGGCATGATGAATCGTTCCAATCGCGACGCCAAAATGTGAGAATTAAGTTTCGTACGTATATCGGTATAACCAGACGAACTAGAAATCCAGAATTCAGCGAAGCGTAACAACCAGCACGTATGTATTCGAATTGGCGAATATGTACAGCATATGGAATATTAAAACAAGAGAATAATGAATGGAGCAACGAATAGAGCATCATTCATGTTCATCACAAAAACATATCAGACCTATTATTATTCAGTTTCATAAAGTGATTCATTTTCCTCTGTTTGTTCATTTGTCTGTCTTGTTTCCCTCCCTCGTCCACCTGCATTCAGGTTCCGCGACGATTTCCAACGTTCTTCGTCATGTTGCACTCTCGATTTTTCCAAGAAAGCATTGTCTGGAAACCTATACCAAACTTTACGAATTGTACGGCCCCGACATCCCAACCATCCAAGAAACAATGATTTGTGCCGGAGATTCAGATGGAGGCAAGGATACATGTAATGTACGTTGTGTTCTTGAGGATTGATTAGCTGTGAAAAATTTCACAGACATCTGTTATTTCGGGCACCAAGTCTTCCTCGGTAAAAGTTACTAGAATTTGTCCACGAGAATCTTTAAATGGCGGTCTTTCTTCATGGGATGTCTCACTTGGGAATGTTTCAGGCTGCCTTCCTCGTCAGCCACGATTTTGTCCGAACCTCCTGAAGAAGAATCACATCCCAAACAGACAAACTGCTTTATATCCGGTAATGAAATTTTTTAACCTCTCAGATGTCAGTTAAAAAACAGGACTGAAAAATTATCGCCCGAACATATGAACCATTTAGAACGTAGTGATTAGCATGTTAAAAAGTCACAACTGATCGATAAATGCGGGCAGACTGAACAAAACTCAGGAAGTGAACGAAGGGGCCTAACTGCTTCTGTAGTCTGCCTGTTGAAAAATGGCTGTTGTATGCTAGTCTATTCAGTGAGCGGTGGTTCACCTGGCAACGAAGTACGAAAACACTAACCAGTAAACTCGGTCAGGTCGGCAACTGCCACCTCTCTGGATGGGGACCCTGGGATTCAGCTCACCAATGGTTAGTGACACTGGCGGAAATGGTCTAATCGCTTAGTCAATAGCGCTCATGCATCAAAGCTATTGCGTTCAACTTGTAGCTACTCAGTTCCCGTACTAACCAGATTTGCCCTCGCCTCCAAGTCACCGCTTTCCGGTGAATGAACTTGTAGCAGCTGGAACCCATGGGTCTATGGTACACGGTTTATAGTTGATAAATTGAATTGGACTGAACTGGTGGTTCACTATCAGTTAAATCCTTTGGCGCTTCAGTACAGTTGTTCAGTTGCTCACCTAATCGCTCATTTGTGGACCATGGACTCCATCAGTGCGCATTACCCAACTGTGAGCTAATGATGTCACCTCGTACGGCACGTCTGCAAGTCAGCTGCCAAGCTCGGCGGACAGATCAACAGCCACCTGATCAACAAACCCAATGAACTCACCCGGGCTACCAATATTTTGACACATTAGCAACTAGGGACTATGAAAGCACTTGAGTTTATGTTGGTTTACTATTATTTGGGATGGATAATGACCAAATTTCAGAGTAGCACTTCTTGTTGATTACACCTTGCAATACCTACTATTAATCTTCGTACACAGTAACCCAAAGTACGCAAACATTTTTATTGTAACAACTCTGCGACATCTTTTATAATACATCCTCGATGGGTTTCTCGGAACACTCTGAGATAAATCTTCTACGAAAAAAGACAGTTACACTTAAAGTTGAGATGTATTTGAGGCAATACAAATCTGGCGGTTTTGTGGGCTTCCTTTTGAGTGAAATTTTGATTAATAATCACAGAAAAATATCTGCTTTGGTATCTTAATTTTTTTAGATCTCTCGCAAATTTATTTTTCGTCATAAATTCTTACACCTCCATCCAAACTCAAGGACAGAACTTCAAGGACATCATGGTCGTTTGGTCGTCATTTGGGATGGAACGTGGATTATAACCTCCAAAAGCAATTCACAAAATCAATTGGTTTTAATAGATCCGATGGGAACTGCTTTCAAATTTGTCGCATCATATCTTAGGTCCGCGCCATGATCTACAGAGCGGAATAGAAATTCAGTGTTTTTTGTTGCTATCATGAAAATGAGTACGGTGCGTAAAAGAGGCTTTATATTGGTTTTGGTGTTGTAGAAAAAAGGTTTTAGTCAACGTTTGGCCAATGATTGTACTTTTGCGGACTTTCTTAACGAAGTGAGTACCAAAGAGCTTACCTTTTTCGCGACAGGGTAATTTCTAAGCACGAGCAGAATATTTTTAGTTATCACCATCATCAGTACCATGACATCGGTGTTCAACGCTGAGGACTCGCTGCCATTCAACCACGATTCATTTGAATGCATTATTGTGAGGTGGACGGGGAAGGAACTTAGTGCTAGCTTTAGCAAACGCAACCCGAGCCTTGCAGATTCGTGCATTGACTTCATCTATCACACTGCAATTGCACCAGTACAACTTCCAAGATACTTGAAACGCTTCAGAACTTCGAGTTCCTCTCCCTGGATTGTAAGTAACTGCATGTCCACAAGCATGACCTTACACATAGTGGGTGCAAAGTGCATATCAAAGAACGGGATGACTTTGATCAGTTCAGCCAAAAGCACCTGCGTCTTCTCCTCTTTTGAAGATGAGAACGATATCGCCTACATATTCCAGGTCGACAAGGTCATCATCAGGGGCTATTTAAACACCAGGGTTTTTTAAGAACTTCCAGATTTCGTCTCATTATCTCTTCGATCACGAAGTTAAATGGGAATGGAGAAGGTGGGCACAGCTGAAGGACACCGCTTTGTGTACGGAAGCGTTTGGAGGGTTCTCCGTATACTCTTATGCGTCAGAAAGTCTAACAATGCAAAGAGCCAAAAGTGATAAACTGATAGCCGAACTTTTACTTAAAGGTTGACCCATTGTTACTGATCTTTTCCAAATTGGTAGTTATTACTGCGAATTAAGCTCAGAGAATTGCGTACATTTTTAACACACAGGTGCAGACTTGGAAGCTTCACGAGATCGCTACGTTCAAAATCCGACCGGCCATAATAAAGACTCTTAGGATGTCCATGGGAAATTAGATGGATGATTCTATTACAATGACATCAATAAACTAAATTGAATTTGTTTCCGGATTTTGCCGGATTTTCACTCCAGCGCGGATTCTCAGCGCATTCACTAGAATATTTGTACTTCTACCAAGTTGCGACACAGGACTAGGTAGACTTGGATGATATGATGGTGCATCAATTCACTTTAATCACCTTCTGACCGTTTTAATGTGTTCAGAACATCATAAGAATGTCAGATCGGGAGCAATATCTAATTTCCTCCCTCACAAGCCCAAATCAGTTCGGTTGGTCGCATCTAATTTAATCAAGCTACTTGGTGATCGAATAGTAGGCAAACTAGAACTAAAAATATTATATCTCGGGACTGCGTGGGCGTCATAAAAGACCAACCCCAAAACTTCCAACCTAATTGCAAGAAGCTCTTCCAGCCCCTCTAGAAATCTACCATTTATTTAAGAAGAGGGCTTTCCTGTTAAGATGGCTGAATGGTTTAGGAAACTGAATCCGGCTCCCTATTTCATTCGTTTACTGGCTAGGATACGCGTTGGACACAGGCACGGAAAAAAGTTTCCTCGTGCTCATCGTAGCTACAGTCGGTAATAATGCATCCAAACGACTAGGCAGGATATTTGGCGCAACAGATAATCGAAAGGCGCGAGCAACTACCCCAAACTGTACGACGTCCGCAGGCAACTGGATGCGTGGTTTTGGTAGACTGTAAAAACGGTCGACTTTTCAAATATCAACCCACGTTGTTTAAAATCATTGCCCAAACATAACACATTAGAAGGTTTTTTCATTACTCAAAGAAAGCCATACTTCTCGTTCGTGATGTTCTTCTAAACTATTCAGGAATTTTTCGATTTGAGAAACGACTTGTTGCAGACAGAATTTCTTTACTGAATTTTTAATATTATCGTCCAAAAAATCTACGGACAACAGGATAGTGTCTAAAAAAGCCATTTTTCTCAGGATATGTTTAAGACTTTCACCCTTGTGCAACACCTTCACCATTCCAAAGCTTGCTAAGCACACTAGCCTCAAAATGGTGGGGGTTTTCAGCTTTGAGAAACGACTAGTAATAAAGGACAGCAGAAAAATGTTCTAATCTGTGTTGGTTGAAAACCAGTGCAGTTAACTTTCCTCTCTCTAAAAGACATATTCGGGGAATTATTTTGTTCAGAAAAATTTACACCTTACAATGAACAACTATAAGCCAGCTGTTCTCTAGGTCCCTGGAGCGCGCACAGTCGTATCCTAACGAATTTTAAAAGATTTTTCCTGATCTTTTCGAAGCCAGTGGACATTCTTATTTTCCTCATAGGGGTCATGCTTAGTCTTGTGTTGAGACTAGGTTAAAATTCACGCACAGTCAATCACCCACCGCTAATTCATATTCGGTTTTTCCCTGCAGTTTGATTCCGGCGGTCCGCTGGTCTATCAGGTTGACGGTCAGTGGTATGCGAATGCACTGACCTCATTTGGCTGGGAATGTGGGAATCCATCCACTCCCGGAGTGTACACAGATGTGTCCGGCTACATCACTTGGATTCAGAGTCTCATACCCGATCTGGCAACCAAGCCGGACGGCTTCCGATGATCGTACAAACCAGCAAAGACCTACCTATTTTGTCTATCCACTCTTTACAAGCATTATTTTTCGGTCAATGGAGGTAATGGGATTGTTTGCTTTTTGCTTCATTTTTTAGTCACTATCTTCGGTTATCGTCTACAGGATATGGCGAACTAATGGTCTGTTAGGAGATAATTTGAGGTTTTGTGGTGTTTGCATTCAAAAAACAGCTATTCTCAGTTGAAATTTTATCCTGTTGCTGGGACCATTCTAGGCTGGAAAGCCTAGAAGCATTGTACATGTATTTAGTCACTACTGGGAATCATCAGTAGTGCACATCTCACGAAAAGCCAGCAAGTCTCGAACCTGTAACCGTTCGTTCAGTGGTTCACACTTAACCGTTCGACCCTGAGCTTCTGAACAGCAGTCTGATTGGTTCTCACTAAATCAGGATATATTGCCGCTCATCATTCAGTCACGGAAACCATATCACGTGGTCATGTATTCGAGCGACCTCCGCGAACAATAAGGAATCTACCTTCTTTAAGGATCGTACGAAGTCATTTCGATTATTGACCCTCTGAAAAGGCTGCAGGCTATTAAACCTTAGTTTCATGCGCCTTGATGAGTAGTTGTGATATTCGGAATTAAAATGGTGACCTTGGGAAGCGAGATGGCTCAGTGGTTAGCGTGCGGATTTACTGACCGCAACGTTCGGGGTTCGGACCCGACCTAGTCTAGGCTAAGGCAACTTGGCAGTATTCCAGCCCTCGTTATTCCTTCCGGTGGCAAGGCATTTAGGCACCGGAAGGGTGCTAAAGCTGAAGGAATGACGCTGACCTTGGTACGGAACCCAATAAACGGTCCATCATGGCGCCTCACAGAAATAATGCATTGGTTAACAAGCTCCTAAAGCAGAAGGCAGCGGAAAACCGGCAGGTCGTATTCACATCTAACAATGTCATGAAGCCCCGTTTCGAATAACTTCATACAATATGTGATCAACCGCTATGTGACAAAGCGAATAACTGGTCCGCTGACCCAGTGAGTTACTGGAAAGAACGACTGTGACTGATTTACCTGAATCTCCTACACTTCCTTGTGGGCTACATAGACGAAATCACAAAAATTTTCAAACGATATTGGGTACGAATCTTGGGGCAAAAAAGCACGGTTGGTTGTAGGACGAGAGTCTTAAATAATCACTGAATTGCCTTTGGTCTGAAGATGCATGTCACGACTGGGATCCCACAACCTCTTCACGCCATCAATACACGTCAAACGGCTAAAGAGAAGTATGACAAGCGAAGCTTCCATGTGAGAGGCCGATAAAGGATGGGCCTGTCAGGACTCGACCATATGATGCAAATTCCATGAACGAAGGATGAATGACACCTCAGCTTGTTTAAGTGAAATTTAATTACACTGTTTTAAGCCATTCGTAGCCAAACGGCTTGGTCTTCAACTATCAAACGGAAGTTCGTGAATCCGAATCTTCTTCAATTTTTTATGAGATGCACACTGCCGATTTGTCTCAATGACAACAGAACTGATGTGCAAATATCTTCGTCTTATCTGCATGGATTGAATTCAAGTATTAGACGAAATATCGATTAATGTGCAACGCGGCCTAGATATAAATAGCAGGTTCATTGAAGTAGAAACGTGTTCACTTGATTTTTTAGTCAATAACTTCCCACCGTATGTTAAGCATAAAGTACGTCGACTGTTAATGGGTAAAAAATGTGATGGGGAATCTGGCAATCAGGAATATCTTAGTCCTCTTCGTTGGTGTCCCTTACATGGGTTTTTATTTACCATATTTACGCCTAAAGAATGATGTAACCTAAGCGGGTTGTTATTGCCATTCTCTATGAGGGTATTTACCAAACAATTAGTTTTCATAGACTTGGAATTCGAGAAGTGAACACAACGACAAATGGGTGTTGTTCCTCTTATGTCTGCAAACAAAGCTCTCGCCAACTCAGACGCACTCAGCCATAATCCACCAGCTCCACCTACCCAGTCATCCCCTCGAAATGACAGGATAGAGGCTGGCAATAACAAACATCAATTCAATTTACAGCTTCCTGCCGAATGAGAACGAGGGGAACAGAAAAAAAACAACAACCAATCCACAAACAGTGGGGAAGCTGGCTCAGACACCGTGTAGAATTACCCGTGTTGTTGTTTACGACCACCGTGAACACAACCGACCTGGTGTCGCAAGCTTCCAGCCAACTGAATTAGCTCCAGTTGCGCTGGCAAGCTTCGCCGTCGTATTGGGAGATGTAGACTAGTGACTGACCTGTTTTAAACTATCAAGCAAGTTATCTGACAGGGTTACTTGATCCACATATAAACGTAGCAACATCCAATTATAAATCAGCAAATGGGATGTGTGTCTCTAAGCGTGGGATTGTTGCGTCGCGTACAATTAGATTTTTGTTCGTAATCTGCCCCAATATCGTTTGTCGACATGATAAAATGAATGGATCTAGTGAGCCCCCAAAAATTTGTTTCACAGTGTCTGCTTTTTAGAGACTTTGAATGGCTGCTTTTCGAAATATATGCTATACTTATTTTCTCTGACAAACGTATGTTAGCACACGTAATATACCATTCTGTAATATAGTCATTCTGTTGTTGCCTCACCTCTGTGAGCTTCCTGAAGCCGAAATGACTGCGACTGTTCTTTAAAGCTGCTTGATGTATCTACAGATGCTCGGTTTGCTTCACCATAAAGCAGGGGGCTACGTCAAATACACTGCTTTGCAAATCATACTGGTTTTCACGGGAAACTCAACTGAATCTCTCATTCGGAGACTTTGATGGCGGCGAACTCAGGGTGTTTGCTTAAACAGAGTAACGTTGTTCTCAGAAGTTAAGGTGCTTTCTGCATAGGCACGAATGAACCCTTTGCAAGCGTTTGTATGTAGGTTTACGTAATTATGTGTCGTATCACCAGTTTCCCAAAGGTTGACATTGCATTCTGCCCAGCCAGTAGATTAGTGATGATGAACCACTAATGTTCCGCAGTCTCCTGTTTTGATGAAACACTTGTTTACTGTTGATTAGCTTTCTATCCTTCCGGATACTATATCTCATCAACACCCACATACACGGTGAGTGATCCAGTTGGGAAAGCTGGTGACTGGTTTCAGCAGTACGGTCTTTGTTTCCAAACCTCGGAATATTGCGCATCCGCTGATAATGCTGCGTTGTGGAAGCTTCCGAAAACCAAGAAGGGTAGCTCTCATTTGGGGCTTCAGTAATACTGACAGTATTCTAAATAGATTTGGTAATTTGCACATTTGAGATGTCGTCTTGTGAGTGAATGCAATCTATGCTGAAAAGTCGTGAGGCACTGTACAGCTATCTTACCCTTATTGAGATGCATCAGCAGAGTGCATATCACGTTACTATCAATCTACTTGTAGCTCGGACGATGAACAACTTCAAAAGGCTAGTGAAACTCCCACCTGAAAATGAGCACTCGAGGTACCAGTCAGTACGAGGCCGCGTGACGTAGTTCCGAGACTAAAGTTTGATCTGCGCTAGTTCCTATCTAACCGCGAGTTCATCAAACGATTAATCAGCTGCTGGCGGCCAAAAGGAATAAACGGATTCTGGAGTTGTGCAAAGAACTCAAACGAGTTTTGTGTTTTCAGATCCCTTAAACGACTGAGTAAAACCTGGGTTCGAACTCAACCATGTAAATATAAAATTAGGGCACCATCTGAAACGTCAAGATAAAAACCCCAAAGCATCCATTGGTAGCGCTGATATTTTTCTACAGAACCTTTCCAAGTCAATCTTCCAGCTCCAAACAGAATGAAGCGTTGGGAATCAAAAGCATCTCTAGCTCGTTTATAGTCCACATAGACGTGATGTCTCGATAATGCCTATCAGAACACAGAGGGGAACGACTTGAACTTAAATTGATTACTTTCAAAGTGCCCTTGACACTTTCCAACCAGAACTATCGAAAGTGTTTTGAAGTTCCGAGAAAAAACAAGGCACAGGTCCGTACGATAAATCATGGGAAAAGCCCACTTAGTCGGCCGGAGGAAAACTATCCTGCTGGTGACGGAGTAATATATTGAATCTAATGAAATTACCGATAAATGTAATTTAATGTCACCCCTTCATTACTGATATCAATAACAATACACTGCAAAACGGGTGTAAGGTATTGTGTTTTGTGAGCAGTTTGATGGATTCCACTTCAGTGCATACTTGAGTGGTGTTTTTAAACCCGGAGCGAACCCGAAAGCGGTCTTCTTGAGTATTGAACCGACTGTTGGATTTGGGTATCCGTCTCCAAAGTGCATCCGAAAAGGCAATTATCTTGTTTTAGATCTCACCGTACGTTGATGGTATGTGGGCAAATAGTCCGACCCGATGAAGCAGGAGACACCTTACTTGCATCCAAACTACCGGCCCATGCGCTCCTGTAGGGGTACCCGTCGCACGTGATCTCACAAGCCCACTCTAATAGCCCACGCCGACAGGCAAGCGAAGCCCCGCAGCAGACTATCGATACGCTCTCTTCAGCAGTCCAAACCTAAGACGATGGCGGTCATCCACGTGTTAGCCTGCAGCGGATAGCCGCGGTTGGACGTTGGCATAACAACCAATCATTTTAACTCTTGTTTTGTTGCTTCTGTGGTCTTTTCCCTAGGTCCCGTTGGGAACCGTATGTAAAAGTGGAATCGCTTCATGCAGAAGACCATGCATTCGAGATCGTCTTCCATTTGGCCGTAGCACAGATGCATTCAGTAGGGGGTTGGCCATTACAGGGGAACTGCAGCAGTTGATCGCTCAACTCTGAAATTTACTCCACTTACTTCTTCATATCATCTGCCTCCACTGATATGCAGACATCGACATACTGGTCCGGCATATTTGATCGTTCTTATCGTGCATACGGTAAACCGCGATCGAAACAGCTGGATCAGTCGTTCTCCATCCATTAATGCGTTTTGGCAATCAATGCAACAAGGTGTTCTAAAACCACTGGGGTA